GCATTTGAGCTTTTAGTTGCTAACTCTTTTTGTTAGTTCTCTGACTCTTGTGCATTCTGCTTTTGTGGGTGCTAGTAGGTATTCTTGGAGCTTAATCTTCCTTTTTTTTTTGAAATAATTGGAGCTTCATCTTGCTAGAGGAGTCTTTTTGTTTTGTTTTGTTTTTTTTAAATTTTTTTAATTTTTTATTGTCTAAAGTGATGCAGACAATTCACTGGAAGGCCAGACTCCCTATTTACCATCTGCTGAGGTTTTAGTGAAGGCTTTGCATGTAATAGCATCTGCTGCTCTTGCAGCTGCTCCAAGTGCATCAAGGACTTATATTTTATTCTGTTCACATCATCCATGCATAGTTGGCACTGGAAAGAGAGAGACAGTTTGGAGGGTACTTTTTTCTAATGTTGTTTAGTTTTTGGTTTATTTGTTGACCCGCTGCTTGTTTATTGACATTTCTCTTTTCTTTTTTCATTCCCAGAGGCTACAAAAATTTCTGCGCACTCGTGGCTTTGATGTCATTGGCAGTTTTTCTACTGATGTTGCGAAACTATGCCAGGTAATTTCTAACTTCTTAGGAAGGTATTATTTTTATATGTAACATTCTGTTGTTGTTTATCTGAAACATTCTCCTGTAGAGTTATTGTTGGTTTATTAGTATTTAACAATGTGATACCAACTACAGGTGAGAAAATTGGCTATTCTTTTGTAAGTAATACTTGCCATCACTTAGAGAAAAATGTGCTGTTTCAGGTTGCATATCGTTCAAACATATGGACATTTTTTTTATGATGATCAGCTGAAAATATGAATGCTTTATCGATACTTCTTCTATCATAAAATGCATTAAAATATTCTAACTTTTATTAGTGTCTCAAATTAGTACTTCAAACTTTTTAATTATATTTTTTAGGACCTTATTTTCCAAATTAGTAACTGATTATTTACTTTGCAGCAAAATGTTCAAAGAATTTGATCTGTTAACGAGCTCTCTGTTTGATATTTCAAAAACAAGCTCTCTGTTTGTGCTTTACAGGAGCTTCTGGGACCAATGTGTTTGATGAGTGATAATATACTTGAACAGCAAGCAGCTATCTATTCTTTATCTACTCTAATGTCAGTAACACCTGAAGATACATATGCAGAATTTGAAAAGGTTTGTTTGCTCCATTTTCCCGTTTCACTTGATCTTTTTAACTAGGCAAATTTTATATCCAGTTAATAACTTGGACTACTTGTTCCCCTTGCAGTATCTGAAAGCTTTTCCGGACCGTCATTCACATGATATGCTCTCTGAAAATGATATTCAGGTTAAATTTTTACTACTTTTATCACTTTTATTTATGACATTCAACAATATTTCCCTTTAACTTTTTTATATGTAGAATTCCTTATCTAGAATTGTTAAGGAATGAGGACTTATATTTTATTTTCTTTGCAAAAATTGCTGCTATCACCTGGCCTACGTTCTATCCTTCTCACTTGAATCAAGTCATTGGACCTGTTTATCTCGAGGTGGCATTTGATGTCTTTAAGTTTGTGAGTGTTTCAGGCTTGTTGGAATCTACTGAACCCTGACCCTATGATTTGATTTGCTTGTATGGTTCGTTACAAATTTCACATCCTCTTGACCAATTGGAAAATAATTTTATCTACATGGCATTTAGGCTTTGTTTGGTTGTGCTTTTGGGGTTTTCTTTTGATGTCTACTATTACTTTTAGAAAAACTAGTGTTTGATGATGCATTTATTTGATTTTGTTTTTCCAAAAATTTTTAATTGGAATTGGTAAACATCCAAAGGAAGAAAATTTGCTTTTAACGGAGAAAAAATAAAATTAATTTTTATCAGTTACCTAATGTATTCACAGTCTTCTGAAAAGATTGTATAGGTATATTAGACATTCTATTTTTTTCTTTACCTTAGATACAATACGATCATAGTAGTTTTATTTTCAGAATATCTCCAGAAAAACATTTTTACTAAACACAAATGTTATGTATATTTTCAAAGGATCATAGTAATTTTATTTTTACAATATCTCCAGAAAAACATTTTTACTAAACACAAATGATATGTATATTTTCAACAACATTTTATGGAAACAAATTACCAAACACTATGCTTGACTTTGATAACAGTAGGGTTCTAACCACAAAGCCTCTTAGCAGAACTGAACTCAGCAATAGTTACTTTGAAGAGTATATTTATCTTGTTAAAGTGTGATATTCTTTTGATAGGTGAAGATAGCATTTAACTGAAGTCACCAAGTTTCACCCATGTATAATACTATGAAGTCTAAAATCTCTTCTTTGTTTACAGAATATGTCATTAGGAGAGATTAAGGTACTAGGGGTTGATGGTTTTATTATTAATTCTTTCATAGTTTCTGGAATGTTAGTATCGGGACTTGATCAAGGTGTTTGAGGAGTTCTAGTTAATAGTAAAATTGGTGATAGCATGAATTCTATTTGCATCACCTGGTTCCTAATGAAGTTTGCTCCAACAAAGTTTTAGATTATTGCCAATAAGTTTGCTCCCTAGTTTTTTTTTTTTGAAAGAATAAGTTTGCTCCCTAGTGTTTATGAGGTTATAGTTGAAGTACGTTTCTGAGATCGATGACATGGTAAATGATATTATTTCTGTCCATCAAAGTGCCTTTGTAGGTGGGCAAATCCTAGTTGCCTCTCTTCTTGCTAATTGAGTTGTGGAGGATGTTAAGAAATCGAGAAATAAGGGTTTACCCCTTGAATTAGATTTTGAGAAGGCGTATGTAAGGTTAGTGGAGAACGGAGAAGGGAAGATTAACGCTCCACAATGGAATGAATAACTTGTGTACCCATTCGATGACCTACAAGGAATGGATCTTTCCTGGTACCATCATGCTTGAGCAACTAACTATAAAATGACTTAACTGTGAAAGACCCATTCGTTTTAAAATTTCCTTAAAAAAATTCTCATTCGATGAGAACGGAAGACTAAAGCTCCACAATGGAATGAATAGCTTGTGTATCCATACGATGACCTACAAGGAATGGATCTTTCCTAGTACCATCATGCTTGAGCAACTACCTATAAATGACTTAACTGTGAAAGACGCATTCGTTTCAAAATTTCCTTAAAAGAATTCTCTTAATTTTCATATTCATTTTGACAAACAATTGTTTGCAAAACAAAAATTAGACTTCACAAAATATTAATTTTCCCATGTATCACACTTGAATTTTATCCATTTATTGACAATTATGAAAGAATCTTTGATAAGCAATGATGTTAGAGCCACATGAAACTTGATGTTTTTGTTGTAGTAACAAAGTTACTTTTTGATTTTATGGAGAAACCTTTAGGCTGTCAATTATCACAAATTAACTACAAGGTTTATTTTGAAAAAGGTCTAACCACAATGAGTTAAGTTGTAATATACCAATTTTTTGCTTCCTATCTTCCTTCGATAAGCAAGCTATCTTTTCCTGTTGAAAATATAAGAGTTCTAAAAATATGTCTCATGGTTCTAAGATATATTTGTGGCAATTTGGTATGCATTTTTTTCCTTTGGCATCTGCATTATCATAAGTTATTTTTTCTCTAGCTATGTTTTCAAATTGTGTTTGCTTGCTGTTGCTTTTAGATTTTTCATACTCCTGAAGGAATGCTGTCCAGTGAGAAAGGTGTTTATGTTGCAGAGTCTACAGGTGCCAAGAATATAAAACAGAATATGGTAATTCTGGATGCTTTGTCTCTTAATCTTTTTTTTGGTTTTCTAATCTCTTCTCTTCCTCTTGTGTATATTTTTAATTTTTTTTGTTATAAATACAGCTACATTATAATTCATTTAGTTGGTTATGTGCGTGCTTATGTTGCCAGGATCATGTGAGTTCTAATCATTCATTGAGAAGAGAATCGGCTAGTAGGGAAGCTGCTGCAATGGGAAAAAGAGATGCTGGGAAATCCACAAAAAAAGCTGGTATGTTATTCTTGCATTTTGCTTATTGCTCTGTATTTGTTGTTTCTTCAGTTTTATTTCTTTATTCTTATTTTATATATTCAGATAAGGGAAAAACTGCAAAAGAAGAGGCACGTGAATTGATGCTCAGGGAGGAAGCTTCCATTCGTGAAAATGTTCAGAAAATACAGAGGAACTTATCCTTGCTGCTAAGAGTTCTTGGGGAGATGGCCATTGCAAATCCAGTATTTGCACACAGCCAGCTACCATCCCTGGTTTGTCAACTAGTCTTTTCTCCTTCCTTTAGATGGCAATATTGTTTTCAGGTTTGCTGCTATCAGTAACCAACAAACTGCCGGGAAAAAAACAATTTAGCTAACAAATTAGAACTTTGTTTTCTGTTGTAATAACTGTAGTACAATAGCAGTAGGTTAGCTGGATTGACTGCTATAGTTGTACTAGTGAATATTATTGTAACTACTGTACCAACGATTTTGGTAATAAACACTGGTATATTTGGTGTGACATGATTTGGGTGAATATAAAAAAGTCATCAGATATTTTCCTATCTTTTCCATCTCTCTCTCTCTCTCTCTATTTTCTCTTCTCTTCATTCTTTCTCGCAGACCTCATACTCTGCTATTCTTCCGCTCTCTTGCCTAAAATTCCTAAGCTAGAACGACATCTAGGGACTGTCTGATACAGAAGCATAGGAGCGGCGGCTTAGGTAGAGGTCTTTGTCCATTGAATGGAGCAACATTTATAAGATTTCATGATAGAAATCTATGGCAATGATGAGGCGAAATTGGAGGCCAAGTTGGAGGCCCAGCTCGTGAAAAACAATTCCTGGCCACAAACAATATTGTCGGAGACCATGCTTTTGATTTTAACCAAACCAACAGTTCATCTACAACCCTCCAGTATCACCTCACATTTCAGGACACACACTGTCTCCCAATGTCCCCTGTCATAAAGAGAAATACTTCCAATCCCTAGACTGAAACAAGCTGGGATAGCAGCCATACTTAGGTGACATTAAGCAGCATGTGGGACATAATACACCCAAGATTGATATACCTCTTTTGGAACGAACCAACCAATCCTGGATCATGGGTGAGGAGGTGCAATGAATACTTCCAAGTTGACTGCCGTTGAACAAGAAATACCTTTTTCCTTGGAGCAAAACTTGATACTTGGTATCAGTGTTGGCAACACAACATGATAAAATAGATTGGACTACCTTTAAATAAGAACATTATATGAGATTTGGGGATGCAATAGCGGCTGAGGAGGTTGAAGCATTCAATAAGTTGAAGCAGGAGAGTACCATCATGGAAGCGTGGGAAAGGTATTAAGAGCTATGATCGGTTAGGGTAAGGAATAACTCCCATCTAGATAAAGCTTATTTCATATCGAGCTTCATTATCAGGTTATGTCAAGAATTAAAGTCGATATTAAATTATATAAGGTCCAAACTCGTATTACTTTTAATTGATAATGGAGGCACCTATTCCCACAGATTTTCGCCATTTCTCATTTGAAGAGCTTGTTGGTGATGGATGCGGCTGGGGGGTGATACTCCAGAAGGGAGTGGTTGGTTAGCGTGACAAGAAATATGAATGACTGGGAGGTGGAGGAATATGAAGCCACAACTCCTGGCCAATGTTTGACTGAATTCGAATGGCGACCAGCCTGTGTGGAAACTGAATAAGAACGACTTTTACCATTAGAGGGGAAGCAAGGGGGGGAGGGGGCAAGTTTTCCCTGTCAAGCAAGTATGGAAGACTAAAGCATCACCTAGAATTGTTTTTTCTTTTGTGTGGGAAGCATGTAGAGGATGTACTTTGACAATTGATAAGCTGATGAGGAGAGGCAGAATATGGGTGAAAAAATGCTACTTGTGCAAGAATGCAGCAGAATCTTGTAACCACACGCTGCTTTGGTGCCCGGTGGTATGTAACTTATGGTCTATGGTGTGTTATTGCAGGGTCGGTCAAGGATATGGCTGGGGAAAGCTTATGTAAAAAGAAAAAATTTACTAAACTCATTTATTTGACTATTTTTTAGGTTATTTGGAAAGAAGGAAACAGTGGGGTTTTTGATGGGCTGAAAAAGGAAATTTATAAATTAAGAGACATGTGTTTCATTATTTTGGGTCTCTTTTACTGAGTCATGACATTTATAGGATGGTGGATGTTGAGTAATAGTTGATACTTTGACTAACTTGTAAATATCTTATACATGGACAATACTCCCTTGGTACCTTTGATTCTTTAATACACTTTCACTTTTAGATTCAAAAAAAAAAAAAGAAAAAAAAGAAAAAGATAGCTTAATAGTGCAACATGGCTCATCCAAATTGCTCCCTTGAAAATGATAGCAGCAAACGACCAAAAAATGCTTAGTTAACAAAAGATAAAGCTAAAGTGGGTGATACAAAAGAAGTGGTTCTGATACTCATTTTAGTTGCTGGAATTAGGACATTAAAATGTGGTACTTGAAATGGGTTGGATGGCGAACACAACTCTATGCTATTTGGTCTTGAAAACTTGTAGGTAGAGATCAAAAAGGAAGGGAAGAAGGTGCGAATGAGTCTCTAATGGGGGAACCTTGAGGCATATCTTAGACAAAAGACTAATTAGAATGGTACAAGGGGGATGTAGGAGAACCAGGAGCTTCATGTGCTTGGTAGAATGTCTATGAGGCAAAAGCGCGGATGATAAAGAGCACCATGAAGGAGAGGAATAGAGTGAGTCGTTGCAGGCCTTGATTCAACAATATCAAGGCATATTTGGGGTGCTGGGTTCTCTTCTCATGCAAAGGGAACAAGATCATGCTATTCGCTTGATTCCAGGGGCTGAACCTGTAAACATTATATCATACTGCTGGTCCAACTTCCATAAGACAAGATGAGAAACAAATATCAGAAGTACTAGATAATTCAATAATCATGTTGACCATAGCATATTTGATTCACTTGAACTGTGTTGGTCAAGAAAAAGGAGAGAAATTAGAGGTTTTGCACAAATTACACACAATTGAATGTTATCACTGTGAAGGATAAGTTCCCAATTCCGGTGATAGACAATCTATTCGATGAATTTCATGGGGCTGTGGTATTTCCAAGGTGGATTTGTCGGTAGGATACCGTCGAGTCAGGCTAGGTGACATAACAAAAACTCCCTCTAAACCTCACATCCTGTGTTGCTTCAATCGCTAAAGTTGATTTTGATATATATTTTAAAATGATTTTCCTAGTGGGTTATATTTATAAGATTTGTGTGTTCCTGGATGATTTATAAA